GGCAAAGTATGGCGAAGTATGGAAGGCGAAATAAACACTTTTCTTTAAATTTTTGAACTATGGGCGAACTATGGGCCAAGTATGGCGAAGTATGGGAGGCCTAAAAAAAACTTTTTTTTAATTTTTGAACTATGGGCGAACTATGGGCAAAGTATGGCGAAGTATGGGAGGCGAAAAAAACACTTTTTTTTAATTTTTGAACTATGGGCGAACTATGGGCAAAGTATGGCGAAGTATGGGAGGCGAAAAAAACACTTTTTTTTAAAATTTCGAACTATGGGCGAACTATGAGCCAAGTATGGCGAAGTATGGGAGGCCCAAAAAAAAACTTTTTTTTAATTTTTGAACTATGGGCGAACTATGGGCAAAGTATGGCGAAGTATGGGAGGCGAAAAAAACACTTTTTTTTAATTTTTGAACTATGGGCGAACTATGGGCAAAGTATGGCGAAGTATGGGAGGCGAAAAAAACACTTTTTTTTAATTTTTGAACTATGGGCGAACTATGGGCCAAGTATGGCGAAGTATGGGAGGCGAAAAAAAAACTTTTTTTTAAATTTTCGAACTATGGGGGAACTATGGGCCAAGTATGGCGAAGTATGGGAGGCGAAAAAAACAGTTTTTTTAAATTTTCGAACTATGGGCCAAGTATGGCGAAGTATGGGAGGCGAAAAAAACACTTTTTTTTAAATTTTCGAACTATGGGCGAACAATGGGCAAAGTATGGCGAAGTATGGGAGGCGAAAAAACATTTTTTTTTTAAATTTTGAACTATGGGCGAACTATGGGCCAAGTATGGCGAAGTATGGGAGGCGAAAAAAACACTTTTTTTTAAATTTTCGAACTATGGGCGAACTATGGGCCAAGTATGGCGAAGTATGGGAGGCGAAAAAAACACTTTTTTTTAAATTTTCGAACTATGGGCGAACTATGGGCCAAGTATGGCGAAGTATGGGAGGCGAAAAAAACACTTTTTTTTAAATTTTCGAACTATGGGCGAACTATGGGCCAAGTATGGCGAAGTATAGAAGGCGAAAAAAACACTTTTTTTTAAATTTTCGAACTATGGGCGAACTATGGGCAAAGTATGGTGAAGTATGAGAGGCGAAAAAAACACTTTTTTTTAAATTTTCGAACTATGGGCGAACTATGGGCAAAGTATGGCGAAGTATGGGAGGCGAAAAAAACACTTTTTTTTAATTTTTGAACTATGGGCGAACTATGGGCCAAGTATGGCGAAGTATGGGAGGCGAAAAAAACACTTTTTTTAAATTTTCGAACTATGGGCAAAGTATGGCGAAGTATAGAAGGCGAAATAAACACTTTTCTTTAAATTTTTGAACTATGGGCGAACTATGGGCCAAGTATGGCGAAGTATGGGAGACGAAAAAAACACTTTTTTTTAAATTTTCGAACTATGGGCGAAGTATGGCGAAGTATGGGAGGCGAAAAAAACACTTTTTTTAAATTTTTGAACTATGGGCGAACTATGGGCCAAGTATGGCGAAGTATGGGAGGCCCAAAAAAAAACTTTTTTTTAATTTTTGAACTATGGGCGAACTATGGGCAAAGTATGGCGAAGTATGGGAGGCGAAAAAATCACTTTTTTTTAAATTTTCTAACTATGGGCGAACTATGGGCCCAGTATGGCGAAGTATGGGAGGAGAAAAAAAAACTTTTTTTTAAATTTTTGAACTATGGGCGAACTATGGGCCAAGTATGGCGAAGTATGGGAGGCCTAAAAAAAACTTTTTTTTAATTTTTGAACTATGGGCGAACTATGGGCCAAGTATGGCGAAGTATGGGAGGCGAAAAAAACACTTTTTTTTAAATTTTCGAACTATGGGCGAACTATGGGCAAAGTATGGCGAAGTATGGGAGGCGAAAAAAACACTTTTTTTTTAATTTTTGAACTATGGGCGAACTATGGGCCAAGTATGGCGAAGTATGGGAGGCGAAAAAAACACTTTTTTTTAAATTTTCGAACTATGGGCGAACTATGGGCAAAGTATGGCGAAGTATGGGAGGCGAAAAAAACACTTTTTTTTAAATTTTCGAACTATGGGCGAACTATGGGCAAAGTATGGCGAAGTATGGGAGACGAAATAAACACTTTTTTTTTAATTTTCGAACTATGGGCGAACTATGAGCGAACTATGGGCAAAGTATGGCGAAGTATGGGAGGCGAAAAAAACACTTTTTTTTAATTTTTGAACTATGGGCGAACTATGGGCAAAGTATGGCGAAGTATGGGAGGCGAAAAAAACACTTTTTTTTAAATTTTTGAACTATGGGCGAACTATGGGCCAAGTATGGCGAAGTATGGGAGGCGAAAAAAACACTTTTTTTTAAATTTTCGAACTATGGGCGAACTATGGGCAAAGTATGGCGAAGTATAGAAGGCGAAAAAAACACTTTTTTTAAATTTTCGAACTATGGGCGAACTATGAGCAAAGTATGGCGAAGTATGAGAGGCGAAAAAAACACTTTTTTTTAAATTTTCGAACTATGGGCGAACTATGGGCAAAGTATGGCGAAGTATGGAAGGCGAAAAAAACACTTTTTTTTAATTTTTGAACTATGGGCGAACTATGGGCCAAGTATGGCGAAGTATGGGAGGCGAAAAAAACACTTTTTTTTAAATTTTCGAACTATGGGCGAACTATGGGCCAAGTATGGCGAAGTATGGGAGGCGAAAAAAACACTTTTTTTAAATTTTTGAACTATGGGCGAACTATGGGCCAAGTATGGCGAAGTATGGGAGGCGAAAAAAACACTTTTTTTTATATTTTCGAACTATGGGCCAAGTATGGCGAAGTATGGGAGGCGAAAAAAACACTTTTTTTAAATTTTCGAACTAAGGGCGAACTATGGGCAAAGTATGGCGAAGTATGGAAGGCGAAATAAACACTTTTCTTTAAATTTTTGAACTATGGGCGAACTATGGGCCAAGTATGGCGAAGTATGGGAGACGAAAAAAACACTTTTTTTTTAAATTTTCGAACTATGGGCGACGTATGGCGAAGTATGGGAGGCGAAAAAAACACTTTTTTTAAATTTTTGAACTATGGGCGAACTATGGGCCAAGTATGGCGAAGTATGGGAGGCCTAAAAAAAACTTTTTTTTAATTTTTGAACTATGGGCGAACTATGGGCAAAGTATGGCGAAGTATGGGAGGCGAAAAAAACACTTTTTTTTAATTTTTGAACTATGGGCGAACTATGGGCAAAGTATGGCGAAGTATGGGAGGCGAAAAAAACACTTTTTTTTAAAATTTCGAACTATGGGCGAACTATGAGCCAAGTATGGCGAAGTATGGGAGGCGAAAAAAACACATTTTTTTAAATTTTCGAACTATGGGCGAACTATGGGCAAAGTATGGCGAAGTATGGGAGGCGAAAAAAACACTTTTTTTTAATTTTTGAACTATGGGCGAACTATGGGCAAAGTATGGCGAAGTATGGGAGGCGAAAAAAACACTTTTTTTTAATTTTTGAACTATGGGCGAACTATGGGCCAAGTATGGCGAAGTATGGGAGGCGAAAAAAAAACTTTTTTTTAAATTTTCGAACTATGGGGGAACTATGGGCCAAGTATGGCGAAGTATGGGAGGCGAAAAAAACAGTTTTTTTAAATTTTCGAACTATGGGCCAAGTATGGCGAAGTATGGGAGGCGAAAAAAACACTTTTTTTTAAATTTTCGAACTATGGGCGAACAATGGGCAAAGTATGGCGAAGTATGGGAGGCGAAAAAACATTTTTTTTTTAAATTTTGAACTATGGGCGAACTATGGGCCAAGTATGGCGAAGTATGGGAGGCGAAAAAAACACTTTTTTTTAAATTTTCGAACTATGGGCGAACTATGGGCCAAGTATGGCGAAGTATGGGAGGCGAAAAAAACACTTTTTTTTAAATTTTCGAACTATGGGCGAACTATGGGCCAAGTATGGCGAAGTATGGGAGGCGAAAAAAACACTTTTTTTTAAATTTTCGAACTATGGGCGAACTATGGGCCAAGTATGGCGAAGTATAGAAGGCGAAAAAAACACTTTTTTTTAAATTTTCGAACTATGGGCGAACTATGGGCAAAGTATGGTGAAGTATGAGAGGCGAAAAAAACACTTTTTTTTAAATTTTCGAACTATGGGCGAACTATGGGCAAAGTATGGCGAAGTATGGGAGGCGAAAAAAACACTTTTTTTTAATTTTTGAACTATGGGCGAACTATGGGCCAAGTATGGCGAAGTATGGGAGGCGAAAAAAACACTTTTTTTAAATTTTCGAACTATGGGCAAAGTATGGCGAAGTATAGAAGGCGAAATAAACACTTTTCTTTAAATTTTTGAACTATGGGCGAACTATGGGCCAAGTATGGCGAAGTATGGGAGACGAAAAAAACACTTTTTTTTAAATTTTCGAACTATGGGCGAAGTATGGCGAAGTATGGGAGGCGAAAAAAACACTTTTTTTAAATTTTTGAACTATGGGCGAACTATGGGCCAAGTATGGCGAAGTATGGGAGGCCCAAAAAAAAACTTTTTTTTAATTTTTGAACTATGGGCGAACTATGGGCAAAGTATGGCGAAGTATGGGAGGCGAAAAAATCACTTTTTTTTAAATTTTCTAACTATGGGCGAACTATGGGCCCAGTATGGCGAAGTATGGGAGGAGAAAAAAAAACTTTTTTTTAAATTTTTGAACTATGGGCGAACTATGGGCCAAGTATGGCGAAGTATGGGAGGCCTAAAAAAAACTTTTTTTTAATTTTTGAACTATGGGCGAACTATGGGCCAAGTATGGCGAAGTATGGGAGGCGAAAAAAACACTTTTTTTTAAATTTTCGAACTATGGGCGAACTATGGGCAAAGTATGGCGAAGTATGGGAGGCGAAAAAAACACTTTTTTTTTAATTTTTGAACTATGGGCGAACTATGGGCCAAGTATGGCGAAGTATGGGAGGCGAAAAAAACACTTTTTTTTAAATTTTCGAACTATGGGCGAACTATGGGCAAAGTATGGCGAAGTATGGGAGGCGAAAAAAACACTTTTTTTTAAATTTTCGAACTATGGGCGAACTATGGGCAAAGTATGGCGAAGTATGGGAGACGAAATAAACACTTTTTTTTTAATTTTCGAACTATGGGCGAACTATGAGCGAACTATGGGCAAAGTATGGCGAAGTATGGGAGGCGAAAAAAACACTTTTTTTTAATTTTTGAACTATGGGCGAACTATGGGCAAAGTATGGCGAAGTATGGGAGGCGAAAAAAACACTTTTTTTTAAATTTTTGAACTATGGGCGAACTATGGGCCAAGTATGGCGAAGTATGGGAGGCGAAAAAAACACTTTTTTTTAAATTTTCGAACTATGGGCGAACTATGGGCAAAGTATGGCGAAGTATGGGAGGCGAAAAAAACACTTTTTTTTAAATTTTCGAACTATGGGCGAACTATGGGCCAAGTATGGCGAAGTATGGGAGGCGAAAAAAACACTTTTTTTTAAATTTTCGAACTATGGGCGAACTATGGGCCAAGTATGGCGAAGTATGGGAGGCGAAAAAAACACTTTTTTTTAAATTTTCGAACTATGGGCGAACTATGGGCCAAGTATGGCGAAGTATGGGAGGCGAAAAAAACACTTTTTTTTAAATTTTCGAACTATGGGCGAACTATGGGCCAAGTATGGCGAAGTATAGAAGGCGAAAAAAACACTTTTTTTTAAATTTTCGAACTATGGGCGAACTATGGGCAAAGTATGGTGAAGTATGAGAGGAGAAAAAAACACTTTTTTTTAAATTTTCGAACTATGGGCGAACTATGGGCAAAGTATGGCGAAGTATGGGAGGCGAAAAAAACACTTTTTTTTAATTTTTGAACTATGGGCGAACTATGGGCCAAGTATGGCGAAGTATGGGAGGCGAAAAAAACACTTTTTTTAAATTTTCGAACTATGGGCAAAGTATGGCGAAGTATGGAAGGCGAAATAAACACTTTTCTTTAAATTTTTGAACTATGGGCGAACTATGGGCCAAGTATGGCGAAGTATGGGAGACGAAAAAAACACTTTTTTTTAAATTTTCGAACTATGGGCGAAGTATGGCGAAGTATGGGAGGCGAAAAAAACACTTTTTTTAAATTTTTGAACTATGGGCGAACTATGGGCCAAGTATGGCGAAGTATGGGAGGCCCAAAAAAAAACTTTTTTTTAATTTTTGAACTATGGGCGAACTATGGGCAAAGTATGGCGAAGTATGGGAGGCGAAAAAATCACTTTTTTTTAAATTTTCTAACTATGGGCGAACTATGGGCCCAGTATGGCGAAGTATGGGAGGAGAAAAAAAAACTTTTTTTTAAATTTTTGAACTATGGGCGAACTATGGGCCAAGTATGGCGAAGTATGGGAGGCCTAAAAAAAACTTTTTTTTAATTTTTGAACTATGGGCGAACTATGGGCCAAGTATGGCGAAGTATGGGAGGCGAAAAAAACACTTTTTTTTAAATTTTCGAACTATGGGCGAACTATGGGCAAAGTATGGCGAAGTATGGGAGGCGAAAAAAACACTTTTTTTTTAATTTTTGAACTATGGGCGAACTATGTGCCAAGTATGGCGAAGTATGGGAGGCGAAAAAAACACTTTTTTTTAAATTTTCGAACTATGGGCGAACTATGGGCAAAGTATGGCGAAGTATGGGAGGCGAAAAAAACACTTTTTTTTAAATTTTCGAACTATGGGCGAACTATGGGCAAAGTATGGCGAAGTATGGGAGACGAAATAAACACTTTTTTTTTAATTTTCGAACTATGGGCGAACTATGAGCGAACTATGGGCAAAGTATGGCGAAGTATGGGAGGCGAACAAAACACTTTTTTTTAATTTTTGAACTATGGGCGAACTATGGGCCAAGTATGGCGAAGTATGGGAGGCGAAAAAAACACTTTTTTTTAAATTTTCGAACTATGGGCCTAGTATGGCGAAGTATGGGAGGCGAAAAAAACACTTTTTTTTAAATTTTCGAACTATGGGCGAACTATGGGCCCAGTATGGCGAAGTATGGGAGGAGAAAAAAACACTTTTTTTAAATTTTTGAACTATGGGCCAAGTATGGCGAAGTATAGGAGGCGAAAAAAACACTTTTTTTTAAATTTTCGAACTATGGGCGAAGTATGGCGAAGTATGAAAGGTGAAAAAAACACTTTTTTTAAATTTTAGAACTATGGGCGAACTATGGGCCAAGTATGGCGAAGTATGGGAGGCCTAAAAAAAAATTTTTTTTAATTTTTGAACTATGGGCGAACTATGGGCCAAGTATGGCGAAGTATGGGAGGCGAAAAAAACACTTTTTTTTAAATTGTCGAACTATGGGCGAACAATGGGCCAAGTATGGCGAAGTATGGGAGGCGAAAAAAACACTTTTTTTTAAAATTTCGAACTATGGGCGAACTATGGGCCCAGTATGGCGAAGTATGGGAGGAGAAAAAAAAACTTTTTTTTAAATTTTTGAACTGTGGGCGAACTATGGGCCAAGTATGGCGAAGTATGGGAGGCCTAAAAAAAACTTTTTTTTAATTTTTGAACTATGGGCGAACTATGGGCCAAGTATGGCGAAGTATGGGAGGCCTAAAAAAAACTTTTTTTTAATTTTTGAACTATGGGCGAACTATGGGCCAAGTATGGCGAAGTATGGGAGGCGAAAAAAACACTTTTTTTTAAATTTTCGAACTATGGGCGAACTATGGGCAAAGTATGGCGAAGTATGGGAGGCGAAAAAAACACTTTTTTTTTAATTTTTGAACTATGGGCGAACTATGGGCCAAGTATGGCGAAGTATGGGAGGCGAAAAAAACACTTTTTTTTAAATTTTCGAACTATGGGCGAACTATGGGCAAAGTATGGCGAAGTATGGGAGGCGAAAAAAACACTTTTTTTTAAATTTTCGAACTATGGGCGAACTATGGGCAAAGTATGGCGAAGTATGGGAGACGAAATAAACACTTTTTTTTTAATTTTCGAACTATGGGCGAACTATGGGCGAACTATGGGCAAAGTATGGCGAAGTATGGGAGGCGAAAAAAACACTTTTTTTTAATTTTTGAACTATGGGCGAACTATGGGCCAAGTATGGCGAAGTATGGGAGGCGAAAAAAACACTTTTTTTAAATTTTCGAACTATGGGCAAAGTATGGCGAAGTATGGAAGGCGAAATAAACACTTTTTTTTAAATTTTTGAACTATGGGCGAACTATGGGCCAAGTATGGCGAAGTATGGGAGACGAAAAAAACACTTTTTTTTAAATTTTCGAACTATGGGCGAAGTATGGCGAAGTATGGGAGGCGAAAAAAACACTTTTTTTAAATTTTTGAACTATGGGCGAACTATGGGCCAAGTATGGCGAAGTATGGGAGGCCCAAAAAAAAACTTTTTTTTAATTTTTGAACTATGGGCGAACTATGGGCAAAGTATGGCGAAGTATGGGAGGCGAAAAAATCACTTTTTTTTAAATTTTCTAACTATGGGCGAACTATGGGCCCAGTATGGCGAAGTATGGGAGGAGAAAAAAAAACTTTTTTTTAAATTTTTGAACTATGGGCGAACTATGGGCCAAGTATGGCGAAGTATGGGAGGCCTAAAAAAAACTTTTTTTTAATTTTTGAACTATGGGCGAACTATGGGCCAAGTATGGCGAAGTATGGGAGGCGAAAAAAACACTTTTTTTTAAATTTTCGAACTATGGGCGAACTATGGGCAAAGTATGGCGAAGTATGGGAGGCGAAAAAAACACTTTTTTTTAATTTTTGAACTATGGGCGAACTATGGGCCAAGTATGGCGAAGTATGGGAGGCGAAAAAAACACTTTTTTTTAAATTTTCGAACTATGGGCGAACTATGGGCAAAGTATGGCGAAGTATGGGAGGCGAAAAAAACACTTTTTTTTAAATTTTCGAACTATGGGGGAACTATGGGCAAAGTATGGCGAAGTATGGGAGACGAAATAAACACTTTTTTTTTAATTTTCGAACTATGGGCGAACTATGAGCGAACTATGGGCAAAGTATGGCGAAGTATGGGAGGCGAAAAAAACACTTTTTTTTAATTTTTGAACTATGGGCGAACTATGGGCCAAGTATGGCGAAGTATGGGAGGCGAAAAAAACACTTTTTTTTAAATTTTCGAACTATGGGCCAAGTATGGCGAAGTATGGGAGGCGAAAAAAACACTTTTTTTTAAATTTTCGAACTATGGGCGAACTATGGGCCCAGTATGGCGAAGTATGGGAGGAGAAAAAAACACTTTTTTTAAATTTTTGAACTATGGGCCAAGTATGGCGAAGTATAGGAGGCGAAAAAAACACTTTTTTTTTAAATTTTCGAACTATGGGCGAAGTATGGCGAAGTATGAAAGGCGAAAAAAACACTTTTTTTAAATTTTAGAACTATGGGCGAACTGTGGGCCAAGTATGGCGAAGTATGGGAGGCCTAAAAAAAAATTTTTTTTAATTTTTGAACTATGGGCGAACTATGGGCCAAGTATGGCGAAGTATGGGAGGCGAAAAAAACACTTTTTTTTAAATTGTCGAACTATGGGCGAACAATGGGCCAAGTATGGCGAAGTATGGGAGGCGAAAAAAACACTTTTTTTTAAAATTTCGAACTATGGGCGAACTATGGGCCCAGTATGGCGAAGTATGGGAGGAGAAAAAAAAACTTTTTTTTAAATTTTTGAACTGTGGGCGAACTATGGGCCAAGTATGGCGAAGTATGGGAGGCCTAAAAAAAACTTTTTTTTAATTTTTGAACTATGGGCGAACTATGGGCCAAGTATGGCGAAGTATGGGAGGCCTAAAAAAAACTTTTTTTTAATTTTTGAACTATGGGCGAACTATGGGCCAAGTATGGCGAAGTATGGGAGGCGAAAAAAACACTTTTTTTTAAATTTTCGAACTATGGGCGAACTATGGGCAAAGTATGGCGAAGTATGGAAGGCGAAAAAAACACTTTTTTTTAAATTTTCGAACTATGGGCGAAGTATGGCGAAGTATGAAAGGCGAAAAAACACTTTTTTTAAATTTTAGAACTATGGCCGAACTATGGGCCAAGTATGGCGAAGTATGGGAGGCCTAAAAAAAACTTTTTTTTAATTTTTGAACTATGGGCGAACTATGGGCCAAGTATGGCGAAGTATGGGAGACGAAAAAAACACTTTTTTTTAAATTTTCGAACTATGGGCGAAGTATGGCGAAGTATGGGAGGCGAAAAAAACACTTTTTTTAAATTTTTGAACTATGGGCAAACTATGGGCCAAGTATGGCGAAGTATGGGAGGCCAAAAAAAAACTTTTTTTTAATTTTTGAACTATGGGCGAACTATGGGCAAAGTATGGCGAAGTATGGGAGGCGAAAAAAACACTTTTTTTTAAATTTTCGAACTATGGGCGAACTATGGGCCCAGTATGGCGAAGTATGGGAGGAGAAAAAAAAACTTTTTTTTAAATTTTTGAACTATGGGCGAACTATGGGCAAAGTATGGCGAAGTATGGGAGACGAAATAAACACTTTTTTTTTAATTTTCGAACTATGGGCGAACTATGGGCGAACTATGGGCAAAGTATGGCGAAGTATGGGAGGCGAAAAAAACACTTTTTTTTAATTTTTGAACTATGGGCGACCTATGGGCCAAGTATGGCGAAGTATGGGAGGCGAAAAAAACACTTTTTTATAAATTTTCGAACTATGGGCCAAGTATGGCGAAGTATGGGAGGCGAAAAAAACACTTTTTTTTAAATTTTCGAACTATGGGCGAACTATGGGCTCAGTATGGCGAAGTATGGGAGGAGAAAAAAACACTTTTTTTAAATTTTTGAACTATGCGCCAAGTATGGCGAAGTATAGGAGGCGAAAAAAACACTTTTTTTTTAATTTTCGAACTATGGGCGAACTATGGGCGAACTATGGGCAAAGTATGGCGAAGTATGGGAGGCGAAAAAAACACTTTTTTTTAATTTTTGAACTATGGGCGAACTATGGGCCCAGTATGGCGAAGTATGGGAGGAGAAAAAAACACTTTTTTTAAATTTTTGAACTATGGGCCAAGTATGGCGAAGTATAGGAGGCGAAAAAAACACTTTTTTTTTAAATTTTCGAACTATGGGCGAAGTATGGCGAAGTATGAAAGGCGAAAAAAACACTTTTTTTAAATTTTAGAACTATGGGCGAACTATGGGCCAAGTATGGCGAAGTATGGGAGGCCTAAAAAAAACTTTTTTTTAATTTTTGAACTATGGGCGAACTATGGGCCAAGTATGGCGAAGTATGGGAGGCGAAAAAAACACTTTTTTTTAAATTGTCGAACTATGGGCGAACTATGGGCCAAGTATGGCGAAGTATGGGAGGCGAAAAAAACACTTTTTTTTAATTTTCGAACTATGGGCGAACTATGGGCCCAGTATGGCGAAGTATGGGAGGAGAAAAAAAAACTTTTTTTTAAATTTTTGAACTATGGGCGAACTATGGGCCAAGTATGGCGAAGTATGGGAGGCCTAAAAAAAACTTTTTTTTAATTTTTGAACTATGGGCGAACTATGGGCCAAGTATGGCGAAGTATGGGAGGCCTAAAAAAAACTTTTTTTTAATTTTTGAACTATGGGCGAACTATGGGCCAAGTATGGCGAAGTATGGGAGGCGAAAAAAACACTTTTTTTTAAATTTTCGAACTATGGGCGAACTATAGGCAAAGTATGGCGAAGTATGGAAGGCGAAAAAAACACTTTTTTTTAAATTTTCGAACTATGGGCGAAGTATGGCGAAGTATGAAAGGCGAAAAAAACACTTTTTTTAAATTTTAGAACTATGGGCGAACTATGGGCCAAGTATGGCGAAGTATGGGAGGCCTAAAAAAAACTTTTTTTTAATTTTTGAACTATGGGCGAACTATGGGCCAAGTATGGCGAAGTATGGGAGGCGAAAAAAACACTTTTTTTTAAATTTTCGAACTATGGGCGAACTATGGGCCAAGTATGGCGAAGTATGGGAGGCGAAAAAAACACTTTTTTTTAAATTTTCGAACTATGGGCGAACTATGGGCCCAGTATGGCGAAGTATGGGAGGAGAAAAAAAAACTTTTTTTTAAATTTTTGAACTATGGGCGAACTATGGGCCAAGTATGGCGAAGTATGGGAGGCCTAAAAAAAACTTTTTTTTAATTTTTGAACTATGGGCGAACTATGGGCCAAGTATGGCGAAGTATGGGAGGCCTAAAAAAAACTTTTTTTTAATTTTTGAACTATGGGCGAACTATGGGCCAAGTATGGAGAAGTATGGGAGGCGAAAAAAACACTTTTTTTTAAATTTTCGAACTATGGGCCAAGTATGGCGAAGTATGGGAGGCGAAAAAACACTTTTTTTTAAATTTTCGAACTATGGGCGAACTATGGGCCCAGTATGGCGAAGTATGGGAGGAGAAAAAAACACTTTTTTTTAAATTTTCGAACTATGGGCGAACTATGGGCAAAGTATGGCGAAGTATGGGAGGCGAAAAAAACACTTTTTTTTAAATTTTTGAACTATGGGCGAACTATGGGCGAACTATGGGCAAAGTATGTCGAAGTATGGGAGACGAAAAAAACACTTTTTTTTAAATTTTCGAACTATGGGCGAACTATGGGCCAAGTATGGCGAAGTATGGGAGGCGAAAAAAACACTTTTTTTTAAATTTTCGAACTATGGTCCAAGTATGGCGAAGTATGGGAGGCAAAAAAAACACTTTTTTTTAAATTTTCGAACTATGGGCGAACTATGGGCCCAGTATGGCGAAGTATGGGAGGAGAAAAAAACACTTTTTTTAAATTTTTGTACTATGGGAGAACTATGGGCCAAGTATGGCGAAGTATGGGTGGCGAAAAAAACACTTTTTTTTAAATTTTCGAACTATGGGCCAAGTATGGCGAAGTATGGGAAGGCGAAAAAAACACATTTTTTTAAATTTTCGAACTATGGGCCAAGTATGGCGAAGTATGGGAGGCGAAAAAAACACTTTTTTTTAAATTTTCGAACTATGGGCGAACTATGGGCCAAGTATGGCGAAGTATGGGAGGAGCAAAAAACACTTTTTTTTAAATTTTTGAACTATGGGCGAACTATGGGCCAAGTATGGCGAAGTATGGGAGGCGAAAAAAACACTTTTTTTTAAATTTTTGAACTATGGGCGAACTATGGGCAAAGTATGTCGAAGTATGGGAGGCGAAAAAAACACTTTTTTTTTAATTTTTGAACTATGGTCGAACTATGGGCCAAGTATGGCGAAGTATGGGAGGCGAAAAAAACAATTTTTTTTAAATTTTCGAACTATGGGCCAAGTATGGCGAAGTATGGGAGGCGAAAAAAACACTTTTTTTTAATTTTTGAACTATGGGCGAACTATGGGCAAAGTATGGCGAAGTATGGGAGGCGAAAAAAACACTTTTTTTTAATTTTTGAACTATGGGCGAACTATGAGCCAAGTATGGCGAAGTATGGGAGGCGAAAAAAACACTTTTTTTTTAATTTTTGAACTATGGTCGAACTATGGGCCAAGTATGGCGAAGTATGGGAGGCGAAAAAAACACTTTTTTTTAAATTTTCGAACTATGGGCCAAGTATGCCGAAGTATGGGAGGCGAAAAAAACACTTTTTTTTAAATTTTCGAACTATGGGCGAACTATGAGCCCAGTATGGCGAAGTATGGGAGGAGAAAAAAACACTTTTTTTTAAATTTTTGTACTATGGGCGAACTATGGGCCAAGTATGGCGAAGTATGGGTGGCGAAAAAAACACTTTTTTTTAAATTTTCGAACTATGGGCGAACTATGGGCAAAGTATGGCGAAGTATGGGAGACGAAATAAACACTTTTTTTTTAATTTTTGAACTATGGGCGAACTATGGGCCAAGTATGGCGAAGTATGGGAGACGAAAAAAACACTTTTTTTTAAATTTTCGAACTATGGGCGAAGTATGGCGAAGTATGGGAGGCGAAAAAAAAACTTTTTTTAAATTTTTGAACTATGGGCGAACTATGGGCCAAGTATGGCGAAGTATGGGAGGCGAAAAAAACACTTTTTTTTAAATTTTCGAACTATGGGCCAAGTATGGCGAAGTATGGGAGGCGAAAAAAACAATTTTTTTAAATTTTTGAACTATGAGCGAACTATGGGCCAAGTATGGCGAAGTATGGGAGGCGAAAAAAAACACTTTTTTTAAATTTTCGAACTATGGGCGAAGTATGGCGAAGTATGGGAGGCGAAAAAAACACTTTTTTTAAATTTTTGAACTATGGGCCAAGTATGGCGAAGTATAGGAGGCTTAAAAAAAACTTTTTTTTAAATTTTTGAACTATGGGCGAACTATGGGCCAAGTATGGCGAAGTATGGGAGGCGAAAAAAACACTTTTTTTTAAATTTTCGAACTATGGGCGAAGTATGGCGAAGTATGGGAGGCGAAAAAACACTTTTTTTTAAATTTTCGAACTATGGGCGAACTATGGGCCAAGTATGGCGAAGTATAGAAGGCGAAAAAAACACTTTTTTTTAAATTTTCGAACTATGGGCGAACTATGGGCAAAGTATGGCGAAGTATGAGAGGCGAAAAAAACACTTTTTTTAAATTTTAGAACTATGGGCGAACTATGGGCCAAGTATGGCGAAGTATGGGAGGCCTAAAAAAAACTTTTTTTTAATTTTTGAACTATGGGCGAACTATGGGCCAAGTATGGCGAAGTATGGGAGGCGAAAAAAACACTTTTTTTTAAATTGTCGAACTATGGGCGAACTATGGGCCAAGTATGGCGAAGTATAGAAGGCGAAAAAAACACTTTTTTTTAAATTTTCGAACTATGGGCGAACTATGGGCCCAGTATGGCGAAGTATGGGAGGAGAAAAAAAAACTTTTTTTTAAATTTTTGAACTATGGGCGAACTATGGGCCAAGTATGGCGAAGTATGGGAGGCCTAAAAAAAACTTTTTTTTAATTTTTGAACTATGGGCGAACTATGGGCCAAGTATGGCGAAGTATGGGAGGCGAAAAAAACACTTTTTTTTAAATTTTCGAACTATGGGCGAACTATGGGCAAAGTATGGCGAAGTATGGGAGGCGAAAAAAACACTTTTTTTTAATTTTTGAACTATGGGCGAACTATGGGCCAAGTATGGCGAAGTATGGGAGGCGAAAAAAACACTTTTTTTTAAATTTTCGAACTATGGGCGAACTATGGGCAAAGTATGGCGAAGTATGGGAGGCGAAAAAAACACTTTTTTTTAAATTTTCGAACTATGGGCGAACTATGGGCAAAGTATGGCGAAGTATGGGAGACGAAAAAAACACTTTTTTTTTAATTTTCGAACTATGGGCGAACTATGGGCAAAGTATGGCGAAGTATGGGAGGCGAAAAAAACACTTTTTTTAATTTTTGAACTATGGGCGAACTATGGGCCAAGTATGGCGAAGTATGGGAGGAGAAAAAAACACTTTTTTTAAATTTTTGAACTATGGGCCAAGTATGGCGAAGTATAGGAGGCGAAAAAAACACTTTTTTTTAAATTTTCGAACTATGGGCGAAGTATGGCGAAGTATGAAAGGCGAAAAAAACACTTTTTTTAAAGTTTAGAACTATGGGCGAACTATGGGCCAAGTATGGCGAAGTATGGGAGGCCTAAAAAAAACTTTTTTTTAATTTTTGAACTATGGGCGAACTATGGGCCAAGTATGGCGAAGTATGGGAGGCGAAAAAAACACTTTTTTTTAAATTTTCGAACTATGGGCGAACTATGGGCAAAGTATGGCGAAGTATGGGAGGCGAAAAAAACACTTTTTTTTAAATTTTCGAACTATGGGCGAACTATGGGCAAAGTATGGCGAAGTATGGGAGACGAAATAAACACTTTTTTTTTAATTTTCGAACTATGGGCGAACTATGGGCAAAGTATGGCGAAGTATGGGAGGCGAAAAAAACACTTTTTTTAATTTTTGAACTATGGGCGAACTATGGGCCAAGTATGGCGAAGTATGGGAGGAGAAAAAAACACTTTTTTTAAATTTTTGAACTATGGGCCAAGTATGGCGAAGTATAGGAGGCGAAAAAAACACTTTTTTTTAAATTTTCGAACTATGGGCGAAGTATGGCGAAGTATGAAAGGCGAAAAAAACACTTTTTTTAAATTTTAGAACTATGGGCGAACTATGGGCCAAGTATGGCGAAGTATGGGAGGCCTAAAAAAAACTTTTTTTTAATTTTTGAACTATGGGCGAACTATGGGCCAAGTATGGCGAAGTATGGGAGGCGAAAAAAACACTTTTTTTTAAATTTTCGAACTATGGGCGAACTATGGGCAAAGTATGGCGAAGTATGGGAGGCGAAAAAAACACTTTTTTTTAAATTTTCGAACTATGGGCGAACTATGGGCAAAGTATGGCGAAGTATGGGAGACGAAATAAACACTTTTTTTTTAATTTTCGAACTATGGGCGAACTATGGGCAAAGTATGGCGAAGTATGGGAGGCGAAAAAAACACTTTTTTTAATTTTTGAACTATGGGCGAACTATGGGCCAAGTATGGCGAAGTATGGGAGGAGAAAAAAACACTTTTTTTAAATTTTTGAACTATGGGCCAAGTATGGCGAAGTATAGGAGGCGAAAAAAACACTTTTTTTTAAATTTTCGAACTATGGGCGAAGTATGGCGAAGTATGAAAGGCGAAAAAAACACTTTTTTTAAATTTTAGAACTATGGGCGAACTATGGGCCAAGTATGGCGAAGTATGGGAGGCCTAAAAAAAACTTTTTTTTAATTTTTGAACTATGGGCGAACTATGGGCCAAGTATGGCGAAGTATGGGAGGCGAAAAAAACACTTTTTTTTAAATTTTCGAACTATGGGCGAACTATGGGCCAAGTATGGCGAAGTATGGGAGGCGAAAAAAACACTTTTTTTTAAATTTTCGAACTATGGGCGAACTATTGGCAAAGTATGGCGAAGTATGGGAGGCGAAAAAAACACTTTTTTTTAAATTTTCGAACTATGGTGGAACTATGGGCCAAGTATGGCGAAGTATGGGAGTCGAAAAAAACACTTTTTTTTAAATTTTTGAACTATGGGCGAACTATGGGCCAAGTATGGCGAAGTATGGGAGGCGAAAAAAACACTTTTTTTTAAATTTTCGAACTATGGGCGAACTATGGGCCAAGTGTGGCGAAGTATGGGAGGCAAAAAAAACACTTTTTTTTAATTTTCGAACTATGGGCGAACTATGGGCCAAGTATGGCGAAGTATGGGAAGCGAAAAAAACACTTTTTTTTAAATTTTCGAACTATGGGGGAACTATGGGCCAAGTATGGCGAAGTATGGAAGGCGAAAAAAACACTTTTTTTTAAATTTTCGAACTATGGGCGAACTATGGGCCCAGTATGGCGAAGTATGGGAGGAGAAAAAAACACTTTTTTTTAAATTTTTGAACTATGGGCGAACTATGGGCCAAGTATGGCGAAGTATGGGAGGCGAAAAAAATCATTTTTTTCAAATTCTTCAAATATGGGCGAACTATGGGCAAAGTATGGCAAAGTATGGGAGGCGAAATAAACACTTTTTTTTTAATTATTTGAATTATGGTGGAACTATGGGCCAAGTATGGCGAAGTATGGGAGGCGAAAAAAATCATTTTTTTCAAATTCTTCAAATATGGGCGAACTATGGGCAAAGTATGGCGAAGTATGAGAGGCGAAAAAAACATTTTTTTTTAAATTTTCGAACTATGGGGGAACTATGGGCCAAGTATGGCGAAGTATGGGAGGCGAAAAAAACACTTTTTTTTAAATTTTCGAACTATGGGCGAACTATGGGCCAAGTGTGGCGAAGTATAGGAGGCGAAAAAAACACTTTTTTTTAAATTTTCGAACTATGGGCGAACTATGGGCCCAGTATGGCGAAGTATGGGAGGAGAAAAAAACACTTTTTTTTAAATTTTTGAACTATGGGCGAACTATGGGCCAAGTATGGCGAAGTATGGGAGGCGAAAAAAATCATTTTTTTCAAATTCTTCAAATATGGGCGAACTATGGGCAAAGTATGGCAAAGTATGGGAGGCGAAATAAACACTTTTTTTTAAATTATTTGAATTATGGTGGAACTATGGGCCAAGTATGGCGAAGTATGGGAGGCGAAAAAAATCATTTTTTTCAAATTCTTCAAATATGGGCGAACTATGGGCAAAGTATGGCGAAGTATGAGAGGCGAAAAAAACACTTTTTTTTAAATTTTCGAACTATGGGGGAACTATGGGCCAAGTATGGCGAAGTATGGGAGGCGAAAAAAACACTTTTTTTTAAATTTTCGAACTATGGGGGAACTATGGGCCAAGTATGGCGAAGTATGGGAGGCGAAAAAAACACTTTTTTTTAAATTTTCGAACTATGGGCGAACTATTGGCCAAGTATGGCGAAGTATGGGAGTCGAAAAAAACACTTTTTTTTAAATTTTTGAACTATGGGCGAACTATGGGCCAAGTATGGCGAAGTATGGGAGGCGAAAAAAACACTTTTTTTTAAATTTTCAAACTATGAGCGAACTATGGGCCAAGTGTGGCGAAGTATGGGAGGCAAAAAAAACACTTTTTTTTAATTTTCGAACTATGGGCGAACTATGGGCCAAGTATGGCGAAGTATGGGAGGCCTAAAAAAAACTTTTTTTTAATTTTTGAACTATGGGCGAACTATGGGCCAAGTATGGAGAAGTATGGTAGGCGAAAAAAACACTTTTTTTTAAATTTTCGAACTATGGGCGAACTATGGGCAAAGTATGGCGAAGTATGGGAGGCGAAAAAAACACTTTTTTTTAATTTTTGAACTATGGGCGAACTATGGGCCAAGTATGGCGAAGTATGGGAGGCGAAAAAAACACTTTTTTTTAAATTTTCGAACTATGGGCGAACTATGGGCAAAGTATGGCGAAGTATGGGAGGCGAAAAAAACACTTTTTTTTAAATTTTCGAACTATGGGCGAACTATGGGCAAAGTATGGCGAAGTATGGGAAACGAAATAAACACTTTTTTTTAATTTTCGAACTATGGGCGAACTATGGGCAAAGTATGGCGAAGTATGGGAGGCGAAAAAAACACTTTTTTTAATTTTTGAACTATGGGCGAACTATGGGCCAAGTATGGCGAAGTATGGGAGGAGAAAAAAACACTTTTTTTAAATTTTTGAACTATGGGCCAAGTATGGCGAAGTATAGGAGGCGAAAAAAACACTTTTTTTAAATTTTCGAACTATGGGCGAAGTATGGCGAAGTATGAAAGGCGAAAAAAACACTTTTTTTAAAGTTTAGAACTATGGGCGAACTATGGGCCAAGTATGGCGAAGTATGGGAGGCCTAAAAAAAACTTTTTTTTAATTTTTGAACTATGGGCGAACTATGGGCCAAGTATGGCGAAGTATGGGAGGCGAAAAAAACACTTTTTTTTAAATTTTCGAACTATGGGCGAACTATGGGCGAAGTATGGCGAAGTATGAAAGGCGAAAAAAACACTTTTTTTAAATTTTAGAACTATGGGCGAACTATGGGCCAAGTATGGCGAAGTATGGGAGGCCTAAAAAAAACTTTTTTTTAATTTTTGAACTATGGGCGAACTATGGGCCAAGTATGGCGAAGTATGGGAGGCGAAAAAAACACTTTTTTTTAAATTTTCGAACTATGGGCGAACTATGGGCAAAGTATGGCGAAGTATGGGAGGCGAAAAAAACACTTTTTTTTAAATTTTCGAACTATGGGCGAACTATGGGCAAAGTATGGCGAAGTATGGGAGACGAAATAAACACTTTTTTTTAATTTTCGAACTATGGGCGAACTATGGGCAAAGTATGGCGAAGTATGGGAGGCGAAAAAAACACTTTTTTTAATTTTTGAACTATGGGCGAACTATGGGCCAAGTATGGCGAAGTATGGGAGGAGAAAAAAACACTTTTTTAAAATTTTTGAACTATGGGCCAAGTATGGCGAAGTATAGGAGGCGAAAAAAACACTTTTTTTTAAATTTTCGAACTATGGGCGAAGTATGGCGAAGTATGAAAGGCGAAAAAAACACTTTTTTTAAATTTTAGAACTATGGGCGAACTATGGGCCAAGTATGGCGAAGTATGGGAGGCCTAAAAAAAACTTTTTTTTAATTTTTGAACTATGGGCGAACTATGGGCCAAGTATGGCGAAGTATGGGAGGCGAAAAAAACACTTTTTTTTAAATTTTCGAACTATGGGCGAACTATGGGCCAAGTATGGCGAAGTATGGGAGGCGAAAAAAACACTTTTTTTTAAATTTTCGAACTATGGGCGAACTATTGGCAAAGTATGGCGAAGTATGGGAGGCGAAAAAAACACTTTTTTTTAAATTTTCGAACTATGGTGGAACTATGGGCCAAGTATGGCGAAGTATGGGAGTCGAAAAAAACACTTTTTTTTAAATTTTTGAACTATGGGCGAACTATGGGCCAAGTATGGCGAAGTATGGGAGGCGAAAAAAATCATTTTTTTCAAATTCTTCAAATATGGGCGAACTATGGGCAAAGTATGGCAAAGTATGGGAGGCGAAATAAACACTTTTTTTTTAATTATTTGAATTATGGTGGAACTATGGGCCAAGTATGGCGAAGTATGGGAGGCGAAAAAAATCATTTTTTTCAAATTCTTCAAATATGGGCGAACTATGGGCAAAGTATGGCGAAGTATGAGAGGCGAAAAAAACATTTTTTTTTAAATTTTCGAACTATGGGGGAACTATGGGCCAAGTATGGCGAAGTATGGGAGGCGAAAAAAACACTTTTTTTTAAATTTTCGAACTATGGGCGAACTATGGGCCAAGTGTGGCGAAGTATAGGAGGCGAAAAAAACACTTTTTTTTAAATTTTCGAACTATGGGCGAACTATGGGCCCAGTATGGCGAAGTATGGGAGGAGAAAAAAACACTTTTTTTTAAATTTTTGAACTATGGGCGAACTATGGGCCAAGTATGGCGAAGTATGGGAGGCGAAAAAAATCATTTTTTTCAAATTCTTCAAATATGGGCGAACTATGGGCAAAGTATGGCAAAGTATGGGAGGCGAAATAAACACTTTTTTTTAAATTATTTGAATTATGGTGGAACTATGGGCCAAGTATGGCGAAGTATGGGAGGCGAAAAAAATCATTTTTTTCAAATTCTTCAAATATGGGCGAACTATGGGCAAAGTATGGCGAAGTATGAGAGGCGAAAAAAACACTTTTTTTTAAATTTTCGAACTATGGGGGAACTATGGGCCAAGTATGGCGAAGTATGGGAGGCGAAAAAAACACTTTTTTTTAAATTTTCGAACTATGGGGGAACTATGGGCCAAGTATGGCGAAGTATGGGAGGCGAAAAAAACACTTTTTTTTAAATTTTCGAACTATGGGCGAACTATTGGCCAAGTATGGCGAAGTATGGGAGTCGAAAAAAACACTTTTTTTTAAATTTTTGAACTATGGGCGAACTATGGGCCAAGTATGGCGAAGTATGGGAGGCGAAAAAAACACTTTTTTTTAAATTTTCAAACTATGAGCGAACTATGGGCCAAGTGTGGCGAAGTATGGGAGGCAAAAAAAACACTTTTTTTTAATTTTCGAACTATGGGCGAACTATGGGCCAAGTATGGCGAAGTATGGGAGGCCTAAAAAAAACTTTTTTTTAATTTTTGAACTATGGGCGAACTATGGGCCAAGTATGGCGAAGTATGGGAGGCGAAAAAAACACTTTTTTTTAAATTTTCGAACTATGGGCGAACTATGGGCAAAGTATGGCGAAGTATGGGAGGCGAAAAAAACACTTTTTTTTAAATTTTCGAACTATGGGCGAACTATGGGCAAAGTATGGCGAAGTATGGGAGACGAAATAAACACTTTTTTTTAATTTTCGAACTATGGGCGAACTATGGGCAAAGTATGGCGAAGTATGGGAGGCGAAAAAAACACTTTTTTTAATTTTTGAACTATGGGCGAACTATGGGCCAAGTATGGCGAAGTATGGGAGGAGAAAAAAACACTTTTTTTAAATTTTTGAACTATGGGCCAAGTATGGCGAAGTATAGGAGGCGAAAAAAACACTTTTTTTTAAATTTTCGAACTATGGGCGAAGTATGGCGAAGTATGGCGAAGTATGGGAGGAGAAAAAAACACTTTTTTTAAATTTTTGAACTATGGGCCAAGTATGGCGAAGTATAGGAGGCGAAAAAAACACTTTTTTTTAAATTTTCGAACTATGGGCGAAGTATGGCGAAGTATGAAAGGCGAAAAAAACACTTTTTTTAAAGTTTAGAACTATGGGCGAACTATGGGCCAAGTATGGCGAAGTATGGGAGGCCTAAAAAAAACTTTTTTTTAATTTTTGAACTATGGGCGAACTATGGGCCAAGTATGGCGAAGTATGGGAGGCGAAAAAAACACTTTTTTTTAAATTTTCGAACTATGGGCGAACTATGGGCGAAGTATGGCGAAGTATGAAAGGCGAAAAAAACACTTTTTTTAAATTTTAGAACTATGGGCGAACTATGGGCCAAGTATGGCGAAGTATGGGAGGCCTAAAAAAAACTTTTTTTTAATTTTTGAACTATGGGCGAACTATGGGCCAAGTATGGCGAAGTATGGGAGGCGAAAAAAACACTTTTTTTTTAAATTTTCGAACTATGGGCGAACTATGGGCAAAGTATGGCGAAGTATGGGAGGCGAAAAAAACACTTTTTTTTAAATTTTCGAACTATGGGCGAACTATGGGCAAAGTATGGCGAAGTATGGGAGACGAAATAAACACTTTTTTTTTAATTTTCGAACTATGGGCGAACTATGGGCAAAGTATGGCGAAGTATGGGAGGCGAAAAAAACACTTTTTTTAATTTTTGAACTATGGGCGAACTATGGGCCAAGTATGGCGAAGTATGGGAGGAGAAAAAAACACTTTTTTTAAATTTTTGAACAATGGGCCAAGTATGGCGAAGTATAGGAGGCGAAAAAAACACTTTTTTTTAAATTTTCGAACTATGGGCGAAGTATGGCGAAGTATGAAAGGCGAAAAAAACACTTTTTTTAAATTTTAGAACTATGGGCGAACTATGGGCCAAGTATGGCGAAGTATGGGAGGCCTAAAAAAAACTTTTTTTTAATTTTTGAACTATGGGCGAACTATGGGCCAAGTATGGCGAAGTATGGGAGGCGAAAAAAACACTTTTTTTTAAATTTTCGAACTATGGGCGAACTATGGGCCAAGTATGGCGAAGTATGGGAGGCGAAAAAAACACTTTTTTTTAAATTTTCGAACTATGGGCGAACTATTGGCAAAGTATGGCGAAGTATGGGAGGCGAAAAAAACACTTTTTTTTAAATTTTCGAACTATGGTGGAACTATGGGCCAAGTATGGCGAAGTATGGGAGTCGAAAAAAACACTTTTTTTTAAATTTTTGAACTATGGGCGAACTATGGGCCAAGTATGGCGAAGTATGGGAGGCGAAAAAAACACTTTTTTTTAAATTTTCGAACTATGGGCGAACTATGGGCCAAGTGTGGCGAAGTATGGGAGGCAAAAAAAACACTTTTTTTTAATTTTCGAACTATGGGCGAACTATGGGCCAAGTATGGCGAAGTATGGGAAGCGAAAAAAACACTTTTTTTTAAATTTTCGAACTATGGGGGAACTATGGGCCAAGTATGGCGAAGTATGGAAGGCGAAAAATACACTTTTTTTTAAATTTTCGAACTATGGGCGAACTATGGGCCCAGTATGGCGAAGTATGGGAGGAGAAAAAAACACTTTTTTTTAAATTTTTGAACTATGGGCGAACTATGGGCCAAGTATGGCGAAGTATGGGAGGCGAAAAAAATCATTTTTTTCAAATTCTTCAAATATGGGCGAACTATGGGCAAAGTATGGCAAAGTATGGGAGGCGAAATAAACACTTTTTTTTTAATTATTTGAATTATGGTGGAACTATGGGCCAAGTATGGCGAAGTATGGGAGGCGAAAAAAATCATTTTTTTCAAATTCTTCAAATATGGGCGAACTATGGGCAAAGTATGGCGAAGTATGAGAGGCGAAAAAAACATTTTTTTTTAAATTTTCGAACTATGGGGAACTATGGGCCAAGTATGGCGAAGTATGGGAGGCGAAAAAAACACTTTTTTTTAAATTTTCGAACTATGGGCGAACTATGGGCCAAGTGTGGCGAAGTATAGGAGGCGAAAAAAACACTTTTTTTTAAATTTTCGAACTATGGGCGAACTATGGGCCCAGTATGGCGAAGTATGGGAGGAGAAAAAAACACTTTTTTTTAAATTTTTGAACTATGGGCGAACTATGGGCCAAGTATGGCGAAGTATGGGAGGCGAAAAAAATCATTTTTTTCAAATTCTTCAAATATGGGCGAACTATGGGCAAAGTATGGCAAAGTATGGGAGGCGAAATAAACACTTTTTTTTAAATTATTTGAATTATGGTGGAACTATGGGCCAAGTATGGCGAAGTATGGGAGGCGAAAAAAATCATTTTTTTCAAATTCTTCAAATATGGGCGAACTATGGGCAAAGTATGGCGAAGTATGAGAGGCGAAAAAAACACTTTTTTTTAAATTTTCGAACTATGGGGGAACTATGGGCCAAGTATGGCGAAGTATGGGAGGCGAAAAAAACACTTTTTTTTAAATTTTCGAACTATGGGGGAACTATGGGCCAAGTATGGCGAAGTATGGGAGGCGAAAAAAACACTTTTTTTTAAATTTTCGAACTATGGGCGAACTATTGGCCAAGTATGGCGAAGTATGGGAGTCGAAAAAAACACTTTTTTTTAAATTTTTGAACTATGGGCGAACTATGGGCCAAGTATGGCGAAGTATGGGAGGCGAAAAAAACACTTTTTTTTAAATTTTCAAACTATGAGCGAACTATGGGCCAAGTGTGGCGAAGTATGGGAGGCAAAAAAAACACTTTTTTTTAATTTTCGAACTATGGGCGAACTATGGGCCAAGTATGGCGAAGTATGGGAGGCCTAAAAAAAACTTTTTTTTAATTTTTGAACTATGGGCGAACTATGGGCCAAGTATGGCGAAGTATGGGAGGCGAAAAAAACACTTTTTTTTAAATTTTCGAACTATGGGCGAACTATGGGCAAAGTATGGCGAAGTATGGGAGGCGAAAAAAACACTTTTTTTTAATTTTTGAACTATGGGCGAACTATGGGCCAAGTATGGCGAAGTATGGGAGGAGAAAAAAACACTTTTTTTTAAATTTTCGAACTATGGGCGAACTATGGGCAAAGTATGGCGAAGTATGGGAGGCGAAAAAAACACTTTTTTTTAAATTTTCGAACTATGGGCGAACTATGGGCAAAGTATGGCGAAGTATGGGAGACGAAATAAACACTTTTTTTTTAATTTTCGAACTATGGGCGAACTATGGGCAAAGTATGGCGAAGTATGGGAGGCGAAAAAAACACTTTTTTTAATTTTTGAACTATGGGCGAACTATGGGCCAAGTATGGCGAAGTATGGGAGGAGAAAAAAACACTTTTTTTAAATTTTTGAACTATGGGCCAAGTATGGCGAAGTATAGGAGGCGAAAAAAACACTTTTTTTTAAATTTTCGAACTATGGGCGAAGTATGGCGAAGTATGAAAGGCGAAAAAAACACTTTTTTTAAAGTTTAGAACTATGGGCGAACTATGGGCCAAGTATGGCGAAGTATGGGAGGCCTAAAAAAAACTTTTTTTTAATTTTTGAACTATGGGCGAACTATGGGCCAAGTATGGCGAAGTATGGGAGGCGAAAAAAACACTTTTTTTTAAATTTTCGAACTATGGGCGAACTATGGGCAAAGTATGGCGAAGTATGGGAGGCGAAAAAAACACTTTTTTTTAAATTTTCGAACTATGGGCGAACTATGGGCAAAGTATGGCGAAGTATGGGAGACGAAATAAACACTTTTTTTTTAATTTTCGAACTATGGGCGAACTATGGGCAAAGTATGGCGAAGTATGGGAGGCGAAAAAAACACTTTTTTTAATTTTTGAACTATGGGCGAACTATGGGCCAAGTATGGCGAAGTATGGGAGGAGAAAAAAACACTTTTTTTAAATTTTTGAACTATGGGCCAAGTATGGCGAAGTATAGGAGGCGAAAAAAACACTTTTTTTTAAATTTTCGAACTATGGGCGAAGTATGGCGAAGTATGAAAGGCGAAAAAAACACTTTTTTTAAATTTTAGAACTATGGGCGAACTATGGGCCAAGTATGGCGAAGTATGGGAGGCCTAAAAAAAACTTTTTTTTAATTTTTGAACTATGGGCGAACTATGGGCCAAGTATGGCGAAGTATGGGAGGCGAAAAAAACACTTTTTTTTAAATTTTCGAACTATGGGCGAACTATGGGCAAAGTATGGCGAAGTATGGGAGGCGAAAAAAACACTTTTTTTTAAATTTTCGAACTATGGGCGAACTATGGGCAAAGTATGGCGAAGTATGGGAGACGAAATAAACACTTTTTTTTTAATTTTCGAACTATGGGCGAACTATGGGCAAAGTATGGCGAAGTATGGGAGGCGAAAAAAACACTTTTTTTAATTTTTGAACTATGGGCGAACTATGGGCCAAGTATGGCGAAGTATGGGAGGAGAAAAAAACACTTTTTTTAAATTTTTGAACTATGGGCCAAGTATGGCGAAGTATAGGAGGCGAAAAAAACACTTTTTTTTAAATTTTCGAACTATGGGCGAAGTATGGCGAAGTATGAAAGGCGAAAAAAACACTTTTTTTAAATTTTAGAACTATGGGCGAACTATGGGCCAAGTATGGCGAAGTATGGGAGGCCTAAAAAAAACTTTTTTTTAATTTTTGAACTATGGGCGAACTATGGGCCAAGTATGGCGAAGTATGGGAGGCGAAAAAAACACTTTTTTTTAAATTTTCGAACTATGGGCGAACTATGGGCCAAGTATGGCGAAGTATGGGAGGCGAAAAAAACACTTTTTTTTAAATTTTCGAACTATGGGCGAACTATTGGCAAAGTATGGCGAAGTATGGGAGGCGAAAAAAACACTTTTTTTTAAATTTTCGAACTATGGTGGAACTATGGGCCAAGTATGGCGAAGTATGGGAGTCGAAAAAAACACTTTTTTTTAAATTTTTGAACTATGGGCGAACTATGGGCCAAGTATGGCGAAGTATGGGAGGCGAAAAAAACACTTTTTTTTAAATTTTCGAACTATGGGCGAACTATGGGCCAAGTGTGGCGAAGTATGGGAGGCAAAAAAAACACTTTTTTTTAATTTTCGAACTATGGGCGAACTATGGGCCAAGTATGGCGAAGTATGGGAGGCGAAAAAAATCATTTTTTTCAAATTCTTCAAATATGGGCGAACTATGGGCAAAGTATGGCGAAGTATGAGAGGCGAAAAAAACATTTTTTTTTTAAATTTTCGAACTATGGGGGAACTATGGGCCAAGTATGGCGAAGTATGGGAGGCGAAAAAAACACTTTTTTTTAAATTTTCGAACTATGGGCGAACTATGGGCCAAGTGTGGCGAAGTATAGGAGGCGAAAAAAACACTTTTTTTTAAATTTTCGAACTATGGGCGAACTATGGGCCCAGTATGGCGAAGTATGGGAGGAGAAAAAAACACTTTTTTTTAAATTTTTGAACTATGGGCGAACTATGGGCCAAGTATGGCGAAGTATGGGAGGCGAAAAAAATCATTTTTTTCAAATTCTTCAAATATGGGCGAACTATGGGCAAAGTATGGCAAAGTATGGGAGGCGAAATAAACACTTTTTTTTAAATTATTTGAATTATGGTGGAACTATGGGCCAAGTATGGCGAAGTATGGGAGGCGAAAAAAATCATTTTTTTCAAATTCTTCAAATATGGGCGAACTATGGGCAAAGTATGGCGAAGTATGAGAGGCGAAAAAAACACTTTTTTTTAAATTTTCGAACTATGGGCGAACTATGGGCCAAGTGTGGCGAAGTATGGGAGGCAAAAAAAACACTTTTTTTTAATTTTCGAACTATGGGCGAACTATGGGCCAAGTATGGCGAAGTATGGGAAGCGAAAAAAACACTTTTTTTTCAATTTTCGAACTATGGGGGAACTATGGGCCAAGTATGGCGAAGTATGGAAGGCGAAAAATACACTTTTTTTTAAATTTTCGAACTATGGGCGAACTATGGGCCCAGTATGGCGAAGTATGGGAGGAGAAAAAAACACTTTTTTTTAAATTTTTGAACTATGGGCGAACTATGGGCCAAGTATGGCGAAGTATGGGAGGCGAAAAAAATCATTTTTTTCAAATTCTTCAAATATGGGCGAACTATGGGCAAAGTATGGCAAAGTATGGGAGGCGAAATAAACACTTTTTTTTTAATTATTTGAATTATGGTGGAACTATGGGCCAAGTATGGCGAAGTATGGGAGGCGAAAAAAATCATTTTTTTCAAATTCTTCAAATATGGGCGAACTATGGGCAAAGTATGGCGAAGTATGAGAGGCGAAAAAAACATTTTTTTTTAAATTTTCGAACTATGGGGGAACTATGGGCCAAGTATGGCGAAGTATGGGAGGCGAAAAAAACACTTTTTTTTAAATTTTCGAACTATGGGCGAACTATGGGCCAAGTGTGGCGAAGTATAGGAGGCGAAAAAAACACTTTTTTTTAAATTTTCGAACTATGGGCGAACTATGGGCCCAGTATGGCGAAGTATGGGAGGAGAAAAAAACACTTTTTTTTAAATTTTTGAACTATGGGCGAACTATGGGCCAAGTATGGCGAAGTATGGGAGGCGAAAAAAATCATTTTTTTCAAATTCTTCAAATATGGGCGAACTATGGGCAAAGTATGGCAAAGTATGGGAGGCGAAATAAACACTTTTTTTTAAATTATTTGAATTATGGTGGAACTATGGGCCAAGTATGGCGAAGTATGGGAGGCGAAAAAAATCATTTTTTTCAAATTCTTCAAATATGGGCGAACTATGGGCAAAGTATGGCGAAGTATGAGAGGCGAAAAAAACACTTTTTTTTAAATTTTCGAACTATGGGGGAACTATGGGCCAAGTATGGCGAAGTATGGGAGGCGAAAAAAACACTTTTTTTTAAATTTTCGAACTATGGGGGAACTATGGGCCAAGTATGGCGAAGTATGGGAGGCGAAAAAAACACTTTTTTTTAAATTTTCGAACTATGGGCGAACTATTGGCCAAGTATGGCGAAGTATGGGAGACGAAAAAAACACTTTTTTTTAAATTTTTGAACTATGGGCGAACTATGGGCCAAGTATGGCGAAGTATGGGAGGCGAAAAAAACACTTTTTTTTAAATTTTCAAACTATGAGCGAACTATGGGCCAAGTGTGGCGAAGTATGGGAGGCAAAAAAAACACTTTTTTTTAATTTTCGAACTATGGGCGAACTATGGGCCAAGTATGGCGAAGTATGGGAAGCGAAAAAAACACTTTTTTTTAAATTTTCGAACTATGGGGGAACTATGGGCCAAGTATGGCGAAGTATGGGAGGCGAAAAAAACACTTTTTTTTAATTTTTGAACTATGGGCGAACTATGGGCCAAGTATGGCGAAGTATGGGAGGCGAAAAATACACTTTTTTTTAAATTTGCGAACTATGGGGGAACTATGGGCCAAGTATGGCGAAGAATGGGAGGCGAAAAAAATCATTTCTTTCAAATTCTTCAAATATGGGCGAACTATGGGCAAAGTATGGCGAAGTATGAGAGGCGAAAAAAACACTTTTTTTTAAATTTTCGAACTATGGGGGAACTATGGGCCAAGTATGGCGAAGTATGGGAGGCGAAAAAAACACTTTTTTTTAAATTTTCGAACTATGGGCGAACTATTGGCAAAGTATGGCGAAGTATGGGAGGCGAAAAAAACACTTTTTTTTAAATTTTCGAACTATGGTGGAACTATGGGCCAAGTATGGCGAAGTATGGGAGGCGAAAAAAACAATTTTTTTTAAATTTTTGAACTATGGGCGAACTATGGGCCAAGTATGGCGAAGTATGGGAGGCGAAAAATACACTTTTTTTTAAATTTGCGAACTATGGGGGAACTATGGGCCAAGTATGGCGAAGAATGGGAGGCGAAAAAAATCATTTTTTTCAAATTCTTCAAATATGGGCGAACTATGGGCAAAGTATGGCGAAGTATGAGAGGCGAAAAAAACACTTTTTTTAAAATTTTTGAACTATGGGCGAACTATGGGCCAACTATGGAAGATTGGAGGAAGTTGGAAGTTGGAAGATTGAAAAAAAAAGATTTTCTCGCATCTCATACTTCGCCATACTTTGCCCATAGTTCACCCATAGTTCGAAGATTCGAATAAAATGATTTTTTCGCCTCCTATTCTTCGCCATACTTGGCCCATAGTTCCCCCATAGTTCAAAAATTAAAAAAAAGTGTTTTTTTCGCCCCCCTTACTTCGCCATACTTTGCCCATAGTTCGCCCATATTTGACGAATTTGAAAAAAATGATTTTTTTTGCCTTCCATAGTTCGCTATACTTGGCCCACAGTTCGCCCATAGTTCAAAATTTTTTAAAAAAAGGGTTTTTTTAAAGCCATACTTTAACTATGGGATTCGCTCATTAGCAATACTTTTGCCATACTTTGTCAGCTTTTGGCCATCTTTAACCCATAGTTGGCCATACTTTGCCATCTTTGGCCCATACTTCCATTTCCACGCGGGAAGTCACTGTTATTTGTGTTAATTTAAGGTGATTTAAACAGAGATAATACATAGTTGCTCATATTTTCTCAAAATAAAGTAATTTTGCCCAGCATTTTACCCATTTTTAATCCGTTTTTGTCCTTTTTTTAAAAAAGTTGTATAACTTTTTTGTTTTAATCGCTATTAAAAATTGTCAGAGGAAAAAAGACTACAATGAGAAAGAAAATTGAGGACGAAGTCGAGGACTAACTTGAACCAAAAATAAGGACGAATAGGAGGACTAACTTAAGAAAAAAAATCAGGGCGAAAATGAGGACTAACTTGAAACTAAGTTGAGGACTAATTTGAAAAACAAAAATGAGGACGAAGTTAAGGACTAACTCAAAACGAAAATGAGGACGAATTTGATAACAAAGATGGGAACTAACTTAAGGACGAAGTTGAGGACTAGCTTGAAACGAAAATGAGGACGAACATGAGGACTAACTCAAACACGAAAATGAGGACGAACATGAGGACTAACTCAAAAACGAAAATAAGGACGAAGTTTAGGACTAACTTATGAACGAAAATGAGGACGAAGTTGAGGACTAACTTGAAAAGAAAATAAGGACGAAGTTGAGGACTAACTTGGAAACGAAGTTGAGGACTAATTTGAGAAAGAAAATGAGGACAAAGTTAAGGACTAACTTCAAACGAAAATGAGGGAAAAAATGAAAACTAACTTAAGAATGAAATTATGGACGAATTTGAGGACTAACTTAAAACGAAAATGAGGACTAATTTAAGGACAAAAAATGAAAACTGACTTGAGGATGAAAATGAGGACTAACTTGAAAAACAAAAATAAGGACGAAAATGAGGACTATCTTCAAAAACGAAAATGAGGACGAATTTAAGGACCAAGATGAGAAATGACTTGAGGACGAAGATGAGGACTAACTTGAAAACGAAAATGATGACGAATTTGAGGACTAACTTGAAAAACAAAAATGAGGACAAAGTGAAGACTAATTTGAAAAAGAAAATGAGGACTAATTTGAGAAAGAAAATGAGGACAAAATTCAGGACTAACTTCAAACGAAAATGTGGACGAATATATGGACAAAGATGAGAACTAACTTGTGGACGAAAATGAGGACTAACTTTAAAAACGAAAATGAGGACTATCTTCAAAAACGAAAATGAGGACGAAGATGAGAACTAACTCAAAAACGAAAATAAGGACAAAGTGAGGACTAACTTAAGAACGAAAAAGTGGACGAATTTGAGCTTTAACTAGAAACGAAAATGAAAGCGAAAATGTGGACGAAATTAAGGACTAACTTGAAAACGAAAATGAGGACGATAATGAGGACTAACTTGAAATAAAAATGAGAGCGAAAATGTGGACGAATTTGAGGACTAACTTGAAAACGAAAATGAGGACGAAAATGAGGACTAACTTGAAAAACGAAAATGAGGACGAATTTGAGGACTAACTTGAAACGAAAATGAGGACGAAGTTGCAGACTAATTTGAGAAAGAAAGTGAGGACGAAGTTGAGGACTAATTTGAGAAAGAAAATGAGAACAAAGTTCAGGACCAACTTTAAACGAAAATGAGGACAATGATGAAAACTAACTTAAGAATGAAAATGAGGACGAATTTGAGGACTAACTTGAAAGGAAAATGAGGACGAATTTAGGAACAAAGATGAGAACTGATTTGAGGATTAAAATGAGGACTAATTTGAAAAACAAAAATAAGGACGAAAATGAGGACGAATTTGAGGACTAACTTGAAAGGAAAATGAGGACGTATTTAAGGACAAAGATGAAACTGATTTGAGGATGAAAATGAGGACTAATTTGTAAAACAAAAATAAGGACGAAAATGAGGACTAACTTGAAAAACGAAAATGAGGACGAATTTGAGGACTAACTTGAAAACGAAAATGAGCACGAAAATGAGGACTTACATGAAACGAAAATGAGAGCGAAAATGAGGACGAATTTGAGGACTAACTTGAAAAACAAAAATGAGGACGAAGTCTGCCGACTAATTTAAGAAAAAAAATGAGGACAAAGTTGAGGACTAATTTGAGAATGAAAATGAGGACAAAGTTCAGGACTAACTTCTAACGATAATGAGGACAGTGATGAAAACTAACTTAAGAATGAAAATGAGGACGAATTTGAGGACTAAATTGAAACGAAAATGAGGATGAATTTGAGATCTAACTTGAAAAACACAAATGAGGACGAAGTTGCCGTCTAATTTGAGAAAAAAAAATGAGGACGAAGTGAGGACTAATTTGAGAAAGAAAATGAGAACAAAGTTCATTACTAACGTATAACGAAAATGAGGACGAATATAAGGACAAAGATGAGAACTAACTTGAGGACGAAAATGAGGACTAACTTAAAAAACAAAAATAAAGACGAAGTTGCGTACTAGTTTGAGAAAGAAAATGAGGACGAATTTGAGGACTTACTTGAAAGGAAAATGAGGACAAAGTTCAGGAGCACAATGATGAAAACTAATTTAAGAATGGAAATTAGGACGAATTTGAGGACTAACTTGAAACGAAAATGTGGACGAATTTTTAAGGACAAAGATGAGAACTGATTTGAGGACGAACATGAGGACTAACTTGAAACTAAGTTGAGGACTAATTTGAAAAACAAAAATGAGGACGAAGTTAAGGACTAACTCAAAACGAAAATGAGGACGAATTTGATAACAAAGATGGGAACTAACTTAAGGACGAACATGAGGACTAACTCAAACACGAAAATGAGGACGAACATGAGGACTAACTCAAAAACGAAAATAAGGACGAAGTTTAGGACTAACTTATGAACGAAAATGAGGACGAAGTTGAGGACTAACTCAAAAACGAAAATAAGGACGAAGTTTAGGACTAACTTATGAACGAAAATGAGGACGAAGTTGAGGACTAACTTGAAAAGAAAATAAGGACGAAGTTGAGGACTAACTTGGAAACGAAGTTGAGGACTAATTTGAGAAAGAAAATGAGGACAAAGTTAAGGACTAACTTCAAACGAAAATGAGGGAAAAAATGAAAACTAACTTAAGAATGAAATTATGGACGAATTTGAGGACTAACTTAAAACGAAAATGAGGACGAATTTAAGGACAAAGATGAAAACTGACTTGAGGATGAAAATGAGGACTAACTTGAAAAACAAAAATAAGGACGAAAATGAGGACTATCTTCAAAAACGAAAATGAGGACGAATTTAAGGACCAAGATGAGAAATGACTTGAGGACGAAGATGAGGACTAACTTGAAAACGAAAATGAGGACGAATTTGAGGACTAACTTGAAAAACAAAAATGAGGACAAAGTGAAGACTAACTTAAGAACGAAAAAGTGGACGAATTTGAGCTTTAACTAGAAACGAAAATGAAAGCGAAAATGATGACGAAATTAAGGACTAACTTGAAAACGAAAATGAGGACGATAATGAGGACTAACTTGAAATAAAAATGAGAGCGAAAATGAGGACGAATTTGAGGACTAACTTGAAAACGAAAATGAGGACGAAAATGAGGACTAACTTGAAAAACCAAAATGAGGACAAAGTTAAGGACTAACATTTAAATGAAAATGAGGACGAAAATGAGGCCGAAGTTGTTTACATTGCCAGGATTAATTTTATTTAGCAGAAAAAAATTTAGATAAGCTTTAAATGCATGAAACTGACTGTCCCCATTTACCCCAAAATTTCGGGTAAATGGGGACAGCATAGTTATTTTAAAAAAGCTTTTAGAAAAAAGCCTCCTTAAATATATTACTGTAATAAGGGATGAAAAAACTTGAAAAAAATTGTATTAGATATATGATAGTTAAACCAATTAAAATTTTTTCATTTTTTTTTATTTCAGTATTTTGTCTCGCATTTGAAAAATCATACAAAATTTTTTTCTTATTCCTTATGATTTTTATAACAGAAATTCATTTGAATTTTGGATTTTTGTTATTATTAACTAAATTGACAAAAATAAAAAATTGAAGTGAATTTAAAAGTCAAAAGTTATTAAACAGCATTAGAACTACAAATAAATTAGTACATGCAGTCAATAAATATTTTTTTCCACCTTTTCTAAACAGTTTTTATTCACAAGAACAGAATTTTTCAAAGTTAAAACAAAAAAATTAATATTTAGCCGAGTTCAACTGAACTTTATCCTTCAAAAGTTATTAAATAGCATTAGAACTACAAATAAATTAGTACATGAAGTCAATTAATATTTTTTCCACCTTTTCCACGTAGTTTTTATTCAGACAGAACAGAATTTCTTAAAGTTGAAACAAAAATATTAATATTTAGCCGAGTTCAAGTGAACTTTATCCGTTCAAAAGTTATTAAACAGCATTAGAGCTACAAATAGATTGGTACG